GGTGCCTTAGAGGAGAGAATTTCAGAGAAATAAAAATGCTCTAATCGTGTTATTTTATTCCATATTTTAAGTAGTGTTAATGGTAGAACAATGAACAAACACTCGTGCTGTGGGGTAACAGGACTCGACAAGAATTTCTTCTCAGATTCGTTCAGCACCAAGGCTAAGGAACAGCTTCACTCTCTTGAGACTCTTTCCGCGGAATAGCTGTCACCTCTTTTCGGTGCTGAAATTCAGCATGGATAACTAACGGAGCATGCGTACTTTCCCATGGTTCTGCCCCACCCAGCCGGCGCGCCGTCCGTCTCGTTGGCCCCGCCCTTCGCGGACCCGACGTGCTGCGTCATGGCGCGCCTTACCCCCGGTGACCCCGGAAGTGGGTTGGGGGCTTGGCCTCTGCCCGGCCCTGGAGCCGGAGCGGGACGTGCTACCCAAGAGGGTCCTAGCCTAGTTATTCCATCTGGCGTTGGACCCCTGTCAGGGTCCAGATCAGGGGTCCGAGATGCTGAACGTCCCTTCCCAGTCTTTTCCGGCCCCCAGCTCGCAGCAGCGCGTCGCCTCCGGGGGGCGTAGCAAGGTAAGCGAGTGACACTGACGGTCTCGCTCAGCGCTTGCCTCCCGCCTGGGTCCCGTATTCCAGTCCAGTCCATTTTCTCCTTCCGCCCCCCCTCCCACCTCCTGTCCCCCTTCTCCAGCCTTCGGTCTTTCCTGCCCTAGCTGGCAACTTCTTTCTGATCCCACGTAGCCTTCATACCTCGAACTCCCCTAACCTGCCTCTCACACACTGGTCCCTTTTCTTTCCCATCCCTTAATCCCGTTCTGTCAGTTACCTTTTCTCCAAGTCTTTCCCCCGTGAATTAAATTCAGATGTCTGTGATGGAGCCACGCACTGTGCTTGCTGTGTTGTAGGTGCTGAGTATGAGCTGCTTTCGCTCAACCTGTCCTCCCCGGTCTTTTGTTCTTCACTTTCCGAAGGAGTTCTGAGTGATGTGGGTTCCCTAGCAGAAGGGAAAGGCTGGGCAGTGGCGACAGTGACCAGTAACCATCCCTTCTCGGGTGGGGACTCCAGGAGCTACGGAAGATGGGAGAAGCGAGAACAAACGTCTACGTACTTCCCTTTAGGTTTCCGGACACTTCTCCAAGTCATACTGCATTTCTGTCTTCCCTTCAGTGTATTATAGCTGCCTTTCCTACTGATATCACTTGATGACTTCAAAGCTAATGTACTGTTTTAGTTTTTGTTGAACATAGTTACAGTTAGCAACAGGTGGGATACAAATGACTTTTACATTTGCAAAATTTAATAAACTTGTCTTCTGTGTTCATTGCCACATGCCTTGAACTTTGCTGCTATTTGCTGTTTCCTCATTCTGTAGCCAAGTCATGTTTTGTTCGTGAGACTTCCACCTACTTGGGCCACTCCTTTTTCATTTCTGGACCCTTGGATCTTCGCATCACTTGGGACCTTCACCGACTTTTTTTTCTTCCCCTTAGTCCTGGAGTTTGACTCTAGATGAAAATTATGGGTTCAAGGATCTGTAGCTTTCATTAGATTTTCAGATGTCTGTAAGTCCAATTATAATACTAATATAGCTGAGAGTTATTCAGTGCTTACTGAAGGCCATGTATGTTCTAAGTGTTCTAATTGCTTTACATATATTAACTTACTTAATCTTTACAGTGATCCTATGAAGTGGATGCATTTGTTATCTCCATTTCACAGAAAAGGAAACTGGTTAAGGAATGTTGCCCTAGACTCTATAGACTTGTTATGATGTCCCTCTGGCTGTGACATTATTTTTGCTCCATATGTCATCCAGCCATTTACTCATTTGTCCACTTCTTTGATTTTTGGTCTGTTTCTCTTCTTTAGCTAAATGTTTGGCTGAATAGTAGAGCCTTTCCAGAGGAAGAATCTGTGAATTGGAATATGAGTAGATTCCCTTTTCCATTAAAATTAATCATGTTCTCAGCATCCATTAGCTTGTGAAACAAGAAACAAGCTCATCTTGAACATGTTAGAAGCCGAGTCAGGATGAAATGGTTAGAGATTGAGAAATAGAACCTAACGGTAGTTGGGGAGATTGTGTATCGTAATTGCTAAACGCACAGACTTTTGAGTGAGAAAGGCCCAGATTCTTTTCCCAACTCTACCACTTAACCTCTTTGAGTCTCAGTTTCCTCAGGTGTAAATGGGAATAACAGCACCAGTTTTATAAAGTTGTTCATAAGACTAAATGAGATAATGTTTCTCTTAGCATAGTCTTGGTATATGGTAAACAGTCACTAAATGTTACTTGCCCTGAGGCTTTTATTCTAATTTCATGGATTGTTGTGCAAAGCCCTTGGCACAGTGTCTGGCATAGAGTATGCACTCAATATCTGATAGCTATTATTATTTCTACTAACACTAGTAAATAAATATTTATTGAGAACCTACCATATGCTGGAGATGCGATTCCCAAGGAGTTTATCTAACAGGCAGCACAAACTAGTAAATAGCCAGTTATGGTTTAATAGTGTGTTAGGAGCATGGAGACTTTGGGGTCATAGAAGGCCTCTGGAGGAAATGTCTGCCAGGGAGAAGACGGAGATTGATCTAGACAGGGAGGTAAGTATCAAGGACTCTGTTCCCATTTAGCTAAAGCATGTAATGGGAAGGAGCAAAAGTTAAAACATGGAGCTAGTGCGGTAAACTATGACCAGATTCTGAAGTTCTGGTAAACCACTCCAGGAAATTTAGAGACATTATTATAAGGTAATACGGCAAGCCACAGAAGTAGGAGGAGCCCATGATTAGATTTGCATTTTCAAAAAAAGAACTTTTTACTACCCTGTGGGTTCTGGAATCCACAGACAAGAGAGACAAGTAATTTTAGTTTGGGGATGTGTGTAGGGGGGGAAGATCATATTCTCACACTTTACTTCATTTATTGGGACCAAAAGACCTAGAGAGTTTCAGTGATGATAAGAATGGGATGATGCAGCTTGATAGGAAGGGATGTAAAATTGGAAAGGCACCACAGACCTGTTAACTTTGTTATTTTGGGGGTAAATAAATGCCTAAAATAGATAAGCTTCAGAAAAGTGAGGTATATAAATGTCTTAGTCCGTCCAGGCTGCTCTAACAAAATATCATAGATTAGGTGGCTGATAAATGACAGAAATTTATTTCTCCTAGTTCTGGAGGTGGGGAAGTCTACTATCAATGCGCTGGCTAATTCCATGTCTGGTGAGAGCCTGATTTGTGGTTCATAGCCATCTTTTCCCATGTCCTCACAGGGCAGAAGGGGCGAGGGACCACTCTGGGGCTTCTTTTATAAGGATATAAATCCCATTCATGAAGACTCTACCCTTGTGACCTAATCACCTACCAAAAGTTCCTAATACCATCACATTGGGGGTTAGGATTTCAACATAGGGATTCTCAGGGGATACAAACATTCAGTCTGTAGCAATAAACTTCCTTGAATGTGCTTTTTTACATTAAACATCCCTTTGTACTTTGTTACAAACAAGTTATACAAATTTAGACAGTAGTCCTATTCTATGGGGATGGCTGAAAATTTCCACTAGGTTGTTGTAACTTGCTAAAATACTAATACCTCTTACCTAAAAGCCTTGAGAATGTATTTTTTAAGAAAAATGACACAAAGAACCCAAACATCCTGTTATTAAATCCTCTAGGCAAGGGTACGCAAACTTTTCCACAAAGGGCCAGATAATAAATATGTTAGGCTTTGAGGGCCACACGACCACATAAGGATTCATCTCTTCCCCACCACTGGCATCACCACCTCTAGCACCACCACCACTAGCACCAGGACTTGTGCAACTGATTCTTAGCTTAAGGGCTGTACAGAAACAGGCATGGGTTCGTTTGCCAAACCCTTCCCTAGAGTTTTACAGCATTATTATTTTCCATTATTTGATAACCTTTGTTCCTCAGTGGATTCTTAGAAAATTAATTGCTATTTAGTGATTTCTAATGTTCTGTGTATATTGACAATCCAGAAGATCAACTTTAGCCAGTTGTTTATATTTTCTCCTATCAAATCTCTTGATTTTTAAGGCAAAGAAATGTTAGTCCTAGTTGGTAAGTGACTATATAACACATCAGTGACAGAGCCAAGACCAAAACTTGTTTTCTGACTCCAGGTTCAATACTATTCTTGTTATACTATGGTACCATTATGCTGAACATTTGTGTGACAGAATTCTAAGCTCTACCTTGCAGCCTAGGTATTTTAAATCGTGTTTTATTTATAATTCTAATATAGCAGAAATGATTTTGACAGTCTCCTAAAGCTTTAAGAAGATTTGTAGAATTGTTAGATTTAAGTTTTATCTTTTTGAGTGGGAGTAAGAGTACTGAAGTAGCCTGAAGACAAGCAGCAGGAGGGAAGGAAAGCCGCTAACTTGAAGAAGCCACGTTGCATTCTTCCCTTTTTCCTTTTTTTAGGTGCCTCTAAAACAGGGCAGAAGTCTTATGGATTGGATTCGACTGACCAAAAGTGGAAAGGACCTAACAGGATTAAAAGGCAGACTATTTGAAATAACTGAAGAAGAACTTCAAAAACACAACAAAAAAGATGATTGTTGGATATGCATAAGAGGTAGGTGGTAATTATTGTGTGCTGCAAACAATTTTGGCTGGTCCTTCCCATTGTAGTGCTGTATAACTTCGTGGTCCTGCCATTTGTTGGTGTGATTCACAATTAGATATTAACAATGTGCCTTATACTGGGCAATTAAATTCCAAGTTTGGACAGTATTTCTTCCTTATCTAACTTTATATAGCATCCCTACACTATATTCCCTTTGAAAGTAAACAGTTGTTTGCCAGCCAACTTAATACCAACATAGTAAAATTATTCTGTAACTCCTTGTTTACATAAAATAACATTCTACCTTAGTGCCTTGTAACAGAATTCTGTCAGAAAAAAATGTCTCTGAGAATCTAAAGTAAATCAGAATGTTCGCATTAAAGCCAAACCTTCAGTTTTTACTTGCAGCAATTTTTACTATTTAACGTATATTTCTTGGCAGTATTAATTACCTGATATTTGTAGCCCAGAGCAAATTTGAAGCTCTGAACTAGAAATTGGAGGGGGTTGGAGAGCGTGAGCAGAGAGATAGAAGAGTAGCTGATAAAAGCTGACTGGATGGTATCCAACAACTTGGCATCTAGGAGGAGAGCAAAACAATAAAGGAACTGTATAGTAGGTCTCCATGGTGATGACCTTGAGCCATCCAGACATGGTTAAGTATGTCTGTTATTTATTGCTACTATCACAATTTTAATTTTATCATTGTATAATTTTGGTTTTTTGTCAGTTACCCTGATTATACTGTAACCTTTGTGAGGTCAAGGACCATGTCAGTCTTACTGCTCTGTCCTTAGTACCTAGCACATAGAGGTCATCAATATATGTTTGTGGAATGAATGGAACATTTATCATTTTTAAGAAGCTTGGTTTCTTAAAGAGGTGTGTGGTTGTCATAGTGGCTTGGTGATATGATAAATGGGAAGACACCAGTAAATACCAATTAGTTTGCTAGGGATGTCCAAACAAAGTACCACAAACTGGGTGGTTTAAACTACAGAAATTTATTGTCTCATTTCTAGAGGTTGCAAGTCTGAGATCAAGGTGCTGGCAGTGTTGGTTCCTTCTGAGGACTGTTTACTTTTGGACGAGTCTTCTTAAAAATTTTTATCCAGAAACACTGATCAGTTCAGGCCCTTCCCTTGGAGTTGCCACTCTAGTAGGATAGAATAATAACTGACTGACTGTTAGACCTAAGTCTGAGTGAAGTGCCATAAGAAGGCTGCAAAGAAAGTGATAGACTGAAGGGAGTGAGACATGTGGGTTAGGAAAATCAGAGATGCTTTTGAAGTAGAGATTAGCCTTGATGCGTTGGGCAGGATTTCAACAGGAATTGAGGAGGAAATACATCCATATGGAGGCAAAGGCCTAAACGAGGGTACAGACACAGAAAAGCTTGAGTTGTGTTCTGGAGTTGAGGTTAATTAACTGCTGGAGAATTAAAAGAGGACTAGAAAGGTGTGTTAGGTTAGACTGTGGAGGACCCTGAAAGCCAGGCTGGGTAATGTATCCTTAGTTTAGATGGCAGTGTGAGCTATCAGAGGTGTTTGAATGTGGGAACAGTGTGATCAGAGTGTGCCTTGGGAGGACCAGTCTGGTGGTGGGTGTAGTGCACTGAAATGGGACTAGGAAAGCATGTAGCTCATTACAGTTCAAGTGGCAATAGGTGAACCAGAATGTTGACAAAGGCAGTGGAAAGTATGGTGAATGTGAGACAGACAAATTACTGGTAATTTCTAATATCGTAAATGAAAGTATATGACTAAATGTAATTGACTTTTTCTTCTTAGCTATTCTAATTTAAAATATTAATGATACCTTCTTAAAGGGGGAATATATACCATATTCTGCTTCAAAGGTAAACAGACTCAAATTTTAGTCTAAGCCATGTGACAGGGAAGCATGGTATCATGGTATCGTGTGTGTGTGTGTGTGTGTGTGTATGTGTGTGTGTATTACGTATTAACTTCTTAATTTTCTAACAATTGCCCCATATTTAGATCAGGTCAAAATTTAGCCTATTGGACTGAAGGAGATACAAGAGTTTCCTTCAAGAAATCTTAGAAAATACACACCTTGTTGTGGGTTCTTATGCCTAATATTTTGGGGACTATTTTCCTTTTTTAAGTATATAGTAGTATTTCTACTTCTTATTCAGGTGTGCTGAGTCGGGTCATATTCCTAAAAATGATGATTTGGAAAGAGCACATGGCTGGCAGCAGAATGTAAAATGTATGAACTATAAAATGTGGGCACTGGCCTGGCATAATCTCTGAGGCAGGTGGTATGGAGTTCCTAATTTGTTCACTTAATTTTCACCATTTTCTGTCAAGTATATACACATAATTTCTTTAATGCAATGAGAGTTAATTGGAACATTGAGGGAATGGGTGGAGGAGATATTGCTTTTTCAAAAACTTTGTTGAATTTACCATTAATTCATGCTTTTGTGGTTTTCTCCCTTATTTCTGTTTCTCCCTCTTTCAAGAACAAAGGTGATTTACAAACATGTGAAGAAGCCGTGAGCAAACATGTAAATCGCTCATCTGTGCGAGTTCTGGAGAGCCTAGATCAGACTTTGTTTTTTTCTGCATTACATTCTTCTGTAGTATGTAGTCAGTGTGAGTAATGGTGTGTGAAGTCCTGAAATCATCATTTGGCAGTGTGCTGCAGCCTTTGATCTTAATGAGGGTGAAGGGAAGTGTGATCTGACCAACAGTTCATTTGAATAAATGGTATTCAGAAATAGTTGATTACAGTCAACAGACTGGTGTCCCTGTTGTTAAAAGTTGAGTGGATTAAGTTCTCCAAATGGGATTTAATGGATTTCATTTATAATTTAGAAATAAACATGCTTTGATTTCTCCTAATGCCGATTGTCATATACTAATTAATTAAAGGGGTCTGCTGTGACCTCTAAAAAACTGACTTTCATGTTTCATAACACTAAAAAAATATGGCAAATTGATTCTAAGATGTAGCATGTAGCCCTATTTTATTTGTATTACAACTTCCTAGATTTCTAGGTTCATTTACAATAAACTTTTTAAAAATTTACTTGATGGTAGTGTTGGGCTTTTGCGAATACAGTTGATCATCATTATTCGTGGATTCAGATTTGCAAATTTGTCTACTAATTAAAATTTACTCGTAACCCTGAAAGTCACACTCACAGCACTTTCATTTTCATTTGCAGATATGTACATGCAGTGAAAAATGTGTCACCTGTTCCTAGCTGAGGTGGAACAAGGCAATGCGCTGCCCTCTTGTTTCAGCGTTCACACTGTAAAGAAATGTCTTTTGTGCACTCTATTTGGTGCCATAGTTTTCACATTTTGTGCTTTTTGTTGGTGATTTCGCTGTGTAAAATGGAGCCCAATGATAGTGTTGCAGTTCTGTCCTAAGAAGGCTGTAATATGCCTTATGGAGAAAACCCCTCTGTTAGGTAAGCTTTGCTGGCATGAATTATAGTGCCGCTGGCTGTGAGTTCAGTGTTCATGAATCAACAATGCATATTGAATAAAGCATCTTTAAACAGAAACACACATTCAACAAGATTTTGTATTGACTGACTGGTTGACAACATGTTGTGACCAGAGGCTGGCAGGAGCCTAACTGCATCTCCCCCTAAGAGCTGTGGGTCAGTCCTCACTGATTCGATATTTGCAGCAAGTTTATAGATCATAACTGATGCAGGTAACAAGAACTGGCTGTTTTTCTTTAGGTTCTTTTATTTATTCGGCACTAATAATAAAGTAACTTTTATACTGTGTAGGTTAGATTCAAGCCCACCAAGAAGAGAGTTGGTTTTTCCACTTGTAAGTTCTTTTCTCTAGTTTTTCTTAGCTCCCTGCTTCAATTCTGTTTTGAAAAACTGTAGTATTGTTTTCAGCAGAAAACAAAACTGTAGTATTGTTTCAACTTTCTCTGTCTGAAAATTTTCTTCTCAGTGAAGTTTGTCAAATTGGAACTGTATTAATTTATAATGGAATGTATTATCACAGCAATACAGAATGCGTCAAAACGGTAGTATATTGTTATTACAGTTGGCTCCACTACTCTAGATCGTCTGCTTTGTGTATTATCCTCATTGCTTTTTTCCTCACAGAATATTTTTGAACAACTTTCTTCTGCTATCACTTGCTTGTTTAGGAAATACAAACCAAACTTTTTTTTTTTTAATATTTTTATTGGGGAATTGGGGGATGCGAACAGTGCTGGGGAATTGGAGGAAGGGGAGCAGACAAGTTGCTGTCCTTTCGTTCTTCAGTCTAGTTGTGGAGGACGTTGCTTCACTGGCCCAAGTTGGCACCATCATTGCGCTCTTCCCGGGCGAGGCAGATCAGTCCCCGGCTTCTGGACAGCTGCTCACGGTGGCTGCTGGCCACTCATCCTGGCTGCTGGCCGCTCATGCTGGCTGCTGGCTACACACGATAGCCCATGGCAACCCACTGCAGCAGGGGCTGCAGCCTACGCTGTCGCCGGCGACTCATGGCAGCCCAGCTCCAGGTTGAGCTGTTGTTCAGCATCTTAGCTGTAGAGGGCAGCGTCACTGGCCCTCATATGTGGGATCCGAACCGGGGCCCTCTGGCATCCCAAGCCAGTTCTTAACCATTGCGCCACTCGGCCGGCCCCAAACCAAACTTTTTTAAGGGTACATTTCTCTTTACTCATCCATTTCTAAATAATGCATAGATTTTTCAGGTTGCCCAATCTACACCATTAATGCAGATAGTCTAGTCTTTGATTTTGTTAGATCTGTCCTCCTGACATCCAAGACTGTTTTCTTACTTTTCCTTTTTACTCTGTCTTGATCTGCTTGTCATTTAGTTTCTTCCTTCGTCTTTCTTTCTCACCCTTGCTGTCACTGTTCCATTCACTAAAAATCCAATAGAGGAAAAAAACTATGATCTTAGGGCCTCATCTAAACCGCAGGTGCTTTTTCTGGTTCAGCCAACATTTTGAAATTTTCTTTGTAGGAAAGTTTTGGATTGCAAATTCAATTTTTA